TGCGGACCAACCCAGCACTCTGTACTGACACGAGCGGCCAATCGTACCCATGTATATATACCATTGCATTGACGCGGGGGTGAGAGGAGAGAGACGGACACCCGTGGAGTGAAACGCGCTGCTGCTGGCACCGTCTGGCTATAAATACACCCTCCTCATCTCGCTCGGCTGCAGAGAGGCAGACGTATATAATTGAACCCGCAAGCTCAGCTTTTCTTTTTCTCCCCCCCCCCCCGTCTCACTCTACGGTGTGTTTGAATAATTCAATCGGGAGCGTCCCTCGCTCTATTAACGTTGCTCCGCATAGATACTTTCTTCGCTCGTGTGTGCGCGCAGCGTCCGATGCGCTCTCGTCGGACGTCGTCGACGGCAACACCCGATTATTGCCGTGCCACATGCCCGCCGCGTCCCAAATGCTTCCGTGAAGATTCCAACCAATAAGTTTAAGGTGGTGTATATACATAATTATATTATGTGCTACGTGTAGTTTATGGACTTTATTTCAGCTCGCTCCTCCGTTATCCGATGCTCCGCTAGCTTCGACGGATGATATTTCACATATATGTATACTTAGTGAGACAAAAATCCAAAACCCCTCACTTTTATGCGTTTCCACGTGTAACTGTACCTCCAATAATTGAGTCGACAAAAGAGCTGTCTCTCACGGGAGGCAATAACCTCAATCTTGTCGGCTTATATGTGTTCTTATATAATAAATGGTATGTACTTACATATATACACACCAGTTAGCAAAAAGCTATATATGGAGCTTGAATCAAGTGTTTTACAAATATAGAGTGGCGGAAGGTAAGTACAAGATTAGCCGTGACAAGTAAAACACAATAACCGACTAGGATGACAGTGTTGGCAATTATAATTAGGACGCTGGTGTCAATTTGTCCCGATGCAATTTGTGCCAAAATACAAGAAGAGCACACCAACGAGCATTGTCTTTAATGTGCATTACACGTAAGTATTATGTTGTACACGGAATCGAGGTATATCGGGTGGTTATAAATACACGTATGATAACATTAGATGCTCTTTTATAGATTTATCTTATTCGGGGGTTAACGAAGAAGATGATGAAGGGAGATGAATAGAGACGAGCTCGTATATATAGCTTATACGTGCCGTGAAAAGGCTACAAATACCATCGCGTTACAATTATAAATTCCAACGATATCAAGCTCTTGCTATGGTTATAAGGTACACCGTACATGTGCATACATATGAATATAAGTAGGTGTACATCCAAGTATGAAATATATATATAACCGAGTCACGGCCAACTCTTGATGTTTCTGGAAAGTTGATACAGCCGCCATCGTCGTGGAAGAACTATAAGCTTGGTCTATTGGTCAGCGAGGGTACACGGTGCAGGCATGTGTATATTATATATTTATATAAGATTACCATCATTAAAATACATCGTTATTAATGCGCGCGCTTGCCGGCCCTCTTGTTCCGCACTGCTCCTTGAATCTGCGCTTCTGTTGTATACGTACAATTATAACTATGATGATGATGAGCAGAACCATTTGGAGAGAAATACAAAATACACTTCTCATTTTTTTTTTTTTTTTTTTTGACCCATAATGCACAAAACACAACGGATGTTGACCAAAAAATGTGTAATCCCGCTTAGCCTTTTTTTTTTCTTCATATTGTATCTTTTTCGAATGGTATTAATTCAAGAGCACCCTCTGTGCCATTTGAACATTTGGGAAGGGTCATTGTATAGTCCTAACGTATGTTTCTCTCTCTTAACTGGTCCCAAATTTACCCAGGACGACGTGGAATTAATAGACCGAAAGGGGCACTTGTTAATTTACCCAAATCCAGGTATAGTAATGATCGCGAGATCAACGAGGGAGCGGAACACTGCAACGCCAAAGTAATCTGTTTTATGTATAAATGTATTATATAAGTATACCTATACATCTCACGTGACGATCCATTAGTCCCAGTTCCTATTTTGGAATCTAATGTCTATATTTACACAGCACGTTTTTATGGTTATGATGATGATTATAAAGATATAATATCATACTTAAACATTATTTTTTTCTCTTCGTGGGATATAATATATATGAGTGCGGAAGGAAAGCCTTAACCTTGGCCGAGGGGTGCTGATATATTTACGATCGGCGAACTGCAACGGCAGCACATGTTACACACTGCACTAGAGTGCACACACTGTGGAGCGAGCAATCGATTTTAGACTCTATATAAGTATATGCATTAGGAGAGCTTTCGTTGACGTGCACACATGTAGTATATACACAGTTACCTATACCCATAAGCATGGCAAGTAGGTATAGTAGTTTGGTACATAATATACATTACGGATCGGGGTGTATGTACACCTATATAGCTACGAGTGTGTATATTTTTCCGTGCTTCTATTGTACACCACACAGCGTGCTTTGGTTGTATGTATATATATTTGTGTACTACAGCGTTGCAACTGCTGCTTTAGATCCAAGAGCTTTCGAAAGACAGAGAGAAATGGGGAGGGGGAGCGGGAAGGGGGTGTAAGGTAAAGGAAAGAGGGCCATTTGCATTTGGTTACCTTATACCCTACGTGTATATACATGCATTTCAGCGACTCCATTAAAAAGAGCATCTGTTCCCGGGTCTGAGTATAATTTAATTTAAGGCTTTTAATCGTATTTGCTTCACTGATATTATTATTATTATTATCATCTCGATTATTAGTAATGGATTGTGTAATGAATCAGAAAATCATTGTTTGCGGACCACCTTGGATTATTAATGGAAATTTTTTAATTTTTTACTGATACTCTCCGTTACGTTTTTCATTACAAATTATAGAGTTTTAGAATGGTAATTGCTGTAAACGGAGAAAAATCGACATTAGCTAGATAATAAGTTGTACGTATGTGATGCATTGAATTCGGGAATTTTCGTTGCCAGTACCGTTTTTATCCAAACGTATTATACGTTTCAATACTGCAAAGCTCGTTTGAAAATAAAATCGACGAGCTTTTTAACGGCAAACGATTAATGATTGAAAATAAAGCGTTATTTATACGAAACAAAATCACCAAAGAGCTATCAAATGGAACTTGTATGGAGTTAAAAAAATTACGATCTGACGAAAGGTTTTATCCAATTAACGAATTAAACTACACTTTATACCGATTAAACGAAATCAGCGGAATGATGATTCCACCGAGCAAGTTTCATTCGAAAGCTCCTCTCTCCATCCGCGCCCGTTTCGGGTGTTTTTAATTTTTGATGGCCCACCCCTGCTAAAAAAAAAAAAAAACTCCAAATTTCAGAATCAATCGACAGCAGTATAACGCGCAGGGCTTTTTTTGTAGAATCGCTCACACTGTTGCTGTAGCACTTAAATACTCTCGGCAATAGACTCATATGCTCTGCTCTCTCGTGTGAGCATGCGATATTTTATACATGCGAATATGGGTATGCACATATTATACATGTACTACCCGTACCTACCCTTATGGTACCTATACAAAACAGTGGGTATATGCGTCCTTTATGTTGTTACGTGCGCTGTTGGGCACACGTGCGAGCGTTATTGAGCTGAAGTATATATATATTATACGAAAGACTTGCTCTGGCTTTCTCTCTTGTTTTGTACGTATGCGTAACACGCATAGTGCACACACATACGCACTAATCTATCCCTCTCTCTTTTAGCCCAGTTATTATTCCACACCTATTGTACCCTGCATAATATATATACATACATCCCGCACTCGACTTTCCTTTGAACTTGCAGCTTTTATTTCTCCCTCCATTTCTGATGATGGGGTGCATTTTAAAACCCGAATCTCTCCTTTTTTTTCGCGTAAGTTTTGCATAAGTATACACACGCATATATGTCCACACACGTATATTGCATCAATCGACGCCTCGTTCGAAGAGTAGCACCGTTTTTTTTTTTTTTTTTTTTTGCGGAAAATTGTGTACAACGTGGTCAGTATAGTTACAAAGGGAAAAAAGCCAAGAATTTTTAGTTGAAAAAACCATTTATTAGGATGAAAAAAAAAAAAAAGCCAAGTACAGTGTTGTTGGCGCCGCCAATGCATATAAGAGCCGAGAGAGCTGCAGCTCGTCGAATGGAAAAAAACAATCACGGAAGATGGGGGAGGGCCCGAGAGAGAGAAGGAAGATTGTGGGGGGGGGAAGGAGGAAACAACGAACCGTAGTCCGGTATACGTGTATAATAGAGTCGACGAGGGGAGGTTTAAGTGATGGATATGCTAATGCTTGGACGCGAAGCTCTCGGCTCTCATCGATTTCGACGATGTCTTTTCATTCCCGACAATGCTCTCTGTTTTCACAGCGTCCACCACCACCACCGCACTGTTATACCGAGAAATTGAAAGGAGAAGGAAAAAAAAAAGGAAGAAATTGCAGAGGGGGAGGGGAGAAGAAAAAAAAAATATTTAGAGCGATATTGTACAGCGGCGAGAGAGGAATTATAGAAAAGAACGGAAGAAAGGAGGAGCATGACTAGGACAAATATTATAATGGAGAGAGGATTGCGCGACGTCTGGGTTAAAACGCGAGAGAGTTTTTTTTTACGTGTACATATATACTTTTAAGATCTCGAGCTCTTTCGTTATGTATATTGGCCAGCGGATAATGATGAAAGCGGAAAAAAAAAAAAAAAAGGTTTTAGTCTGCACTTTCATTAGCTATACGTGTGTACGTACATTATATACCTCGTGTATAGCGCACAGGCTGTTTGGCAAGGAAGGGTTGATGAAAGAGGTGCGGTATATCACAGTGCAGATGAAAATCAGGAGTAGGATGCCAAGTTGCCCCGAAAAATGTATAATGGACACGACATAAATTGTTACGAATTTTCATGTAACATGTATGTTAAACACACGACGACGGATTGTGCGCCAACCACATAAATATATACGTGCAAGGTATATAAATATCCAACTTAATTTTGATACTAGTATAGAGAGAGAGAGAGAGAGTGAACTTACGGTGTTTGACGTGCAGCCGAGGTATGGGATCCAGGGGCCAGGCACAGCCGAGCTGCCCAGCGAGGAGCATCAGTAGCAGCGGAAGCGCGAGCGTCGGGACGCGAGTCATCGAACTGACCGCTGATGGCTTCATTGTCACCTGTCGCACGGTGTACTGTGTGCACCAATATGCCTTTTGCACTGCTCGTGGTGAAACCGCGTTTGCCTGTGCAGCTGATCGATGCTATTGTTGTTACGTGTGACGTGTGTGCAATACACACACGTACGGGCCCAGCTGCAGTGAGGACCCGGTCAGCGCCTCAGCTGCGCCCTTGTCCTCCTCATCTTGTACTTCCGATGGAACCTGCAACAAACGACACGGCCGAACGTTATAATATACACATATATTATATATATACACAGTACAAGCTTCTAGTTGTTTGTCCAACAAAGGCCATTGTACGCGTGTAGCCGCCGTGGTTTATTTACGCAACTCGTCGGGAATTTCCTACACGTTATACTTGTAAATATGGAGATATATTTTTCGCTACACGATCGACCCTTAAAATGTCATTTCCCAAATTAGCAGGGATTTACACAATAGAGTCGTAAGTGTATGAGAGATTACCCGCAGATTGTTGCAGCGCGGGCCCTTTAGTCAAATATGAAAACGAGACAACAAATGCTACTACATGCAGGTTCGTAACAAACATAATAACAATAATAATAATAATAATAATAATATATATTTTGTGTACAAAAGTGCGAGGGTGTATACGTATATGTATAGATGTAGCCATGATAATGATAACGATATCAGCCCAGAGTCTGGCTGCATGTTGCCAACACAACTGTACTGCCGGATGGGTGTATAAATGAGTACAGGTATATACACGATACGACATTTATGTACTCTCGCTTTGCATTTCAATGTTTCGCGGGCGGCAAAGGCGCAGTCTTTGCTGTATGTATATATAATATATATATATAACTTCTTGCTCTCTTCCCCCCTCTGTATACTGTACTCTGTACGTTATACACTCGATGCAGGGAGTTCTCTCACTCTCTCTCTCTGTGTGTGTGCCATTTGCGAGCTCTGCCCCGTAGACGTGTATACATAGGTAAAGTACCAACCACCGCGATACTACATATACGTATGCGCCACGGCATCAAAAAGCGCAAGAGCTCCTCGATGCATGTGCGGTGTGTTTGATCTCGGCCCCCTCTACGGAGCTCGGGTTATATATGTGCCCATCGGTCTGTATGAGGTTTCCGGGGAAAATACTGAAAAATTCCACCACCACCCCCCTCCCAAACAGCAGCATTCGAGGGCGTGTTTTTTCTCCCTTCGTGTCTCCGCGTATGATTTTATTCGTTGGTTCATATAGTCTATAGCTGGGATATTTGGTTACGCGATATCTATGCCGATTGATTCGAATCGAGAGAGCAAAGGTACATACATGTACACATAAATGGAAGAGGAAGACGATTAAGGCTAAAGTGTCCGTATGTGTATGTATACACGATAATGATGATGATGATGATGATGATGGCTTTGATGCATCAACGATGGTTGATTAATACATATCAAAACGGAAGCTCATCTCCTCGTGTATATGTATACAGGTATATTATATATACGTTATGTAGGCCAAATATAACTAGCAGCGATTTCGTACGTCCATACGCGACATGACATACCAGATTCCAAACACTCAAACCTTATGGGCTTGTTAAGCAATTGGGATTAACTGTGCGTGTGTGCTTGTACATAATATACTTATATATGCTTGACCAAAGTCACACCATCGACCAACAACATCGTCATTATCAACTGTACGCGAAGCGTATATACTATACTTTCATGTTGATTTATTCTCGTTGTCATTTGGTGTGTTATATTATGTGCTCGACAAAATTTACCCTTGGTCGTACAATGTATAAATTATACCAAATGGGGTTTTGTTTTCGTTAAAAAACGACAACCACGACAATTTTCAGTTTGTATATTTAATTTATTTCCTTTTCTCTCACGTCCAGCGGCTACTTTTACACGCATGGCGAATAAAATACATTAAAAAAAAAAAAACTCACCCCCCAAGCTGTACGTGTAACATCACAGAGAAACAAATAATTAATCAAAGTGATCAAAGAAAATGAGGGGGGGGGAAGGAAAAAAAGGAAAAGTGCGCGGTCTAAATTCACTGAACCGAAGGGAGGTACGGAAAATCCTCCTCCTCTAAAATCGAATTGTGCCGACTGGCGCTCCGGGAGCTGACGATGCAGCTAAAAGTATATTCATACAGAGTATATTTACAGTTCCCCCACCCCCACCCTCTCCGTCCTCTGTGTTATATATTATGTATATTATACACCCTTCGACCACTTCCCACCCGCGTGAATACATGTATATACTGTACACGCGAACGTATACGCGGATACATCGCGAAATTCAATATCTTTTGTCGCGGTATGGGAGAGAGAGAGAGAGCGTGTACGAGTGCAGAAAACGAGCGAAATTCGCGAAATTCCAGGCCAAGCGCGAAAGCGAATAATATCTTCCTCCGAATCCTCGGGGGAAAAATTATTCAATGGAAATTTCGAAATAAAGCGAGCTTCTTGTTCGCGCCCCCCCTATATATATATATATACGTATACCCATACACTGTAACAATAATACTGCACAGAGAGAGAGAGAGAGAGCGCGGGGGCTCTTGAGTATATATATATGTAGGCTGGGGAGAAAATTTTGCCGGGAATATTATTATCCTATACGTATGGAAATTCGTCGTGGCTGCAGTGTAGCAGCGCGAAACTTGGCGACTCTCGAAGTTCGCGAGTTCATGTACTTTACGCGCAAGGGCGTCTTTTTTTCCTCCAAGATAATAATACAGTACATTATGCGGATTGGCGTTAAAAAAACAGCCACGAGAGATTATCATGCAGAGTTGTACAAACGGAGGAGGAAGGAAAAGAGAAACATCCTAGGAATCTGTTTTCGTCGACAGCGTAATTCTTTCTCGAGGGTACAACCTACTAGCAAGGGAGGGGGGTGACTAACGCGGAAAGCCAAAGGAGACCGAGAGATTATTGTCAAACGAATTAACGAGGAAAAGAAAGGGGAGTGGGGGGGGGGGAGAGGAAAAAAAGAGAAATAGCTGCAGCTGAGCGTCGAGAGATAAAAGTTGCGAGGGAGGAGGGCCTTCCCGAAATCAAGAGTCGAAGGAGATGATGATAATAAGGGGCGGAGTGCATGTATAGGTAGGTGTACGCGGAGGGGGGAGGGCCGGACTTGAGGATGATAAATGCGAGCGAACTCTTGTTCCGAAGTAGCCGAGTCTCGGCATATTAAGAGAAAGACGGAGACGCTGGGAACTGCAGCAGGGAACGAGCGAGCGAGGATTGGGAGGGAGGGAAGTGCGCTACTGTTCCAGCGGAGCGAAAGGGGGAGGAGCTGGTTGGCTCTCCCACCTCCACGCCCCACAGCTTCCCACACCAGTGTATAGTTTCCCTTGCACACCTACACACACACACTTCACGGAGGTGAAATTTCGTGGATGAAGTAATTCATCCCTTTGGCTCGGGGGGTATGCGAGAGCTCCCGCTGATTTCCTCGGAGGAGGATATTCGCATGAGACCCCATTACGACGGAATGGAAATATTCGCGACCGTTATTAAGGGGAAGAGCGGACCCCCTCCCTAGAAAAAAAAAAAAAAAAAAAAAAAAGTGGGGAGGAAAAATGAGCAAGATAGAGGGCCAGGAGATAAATATTTTCATTGTTTCACTCGTCCTTCTTCTCTCTCCGGGCCGTTCTGCCCTCCAGCTCTTTGGCAATTTATTGCCGGCCTTTCAGCTGGAATTTCGAAATTCTTTCTCCTGTGCCCTCGACCACTTTTTTCCCCTACTTTTTCTCGCAAATGACAAATTTAATCGTCCTAACCCTGGTTGTACATTTTTTTTTTTAATGCCGGTTCTTGTGGCGATGTGGCCGTTTTTTACGTGGCAATAACCCCAATAACGCACTTAAATTATTGAAAAACACGGTTCAGGAATTATTTTCTCGCGCGTGTTTAAATATTACAAGAGAGATCAACGTGCACCGAGAGAAACAGAGAGGAAGGATATTATGCACTTATATTTCACGTTGACAGATATATAATGTACCGTATACAGGTACGAATAATTAAACGTCCATTTTTGTACATGAAAATAAACTCAGCGATCAATTAAATCATATACTATATACACCTGTATTTGTTTCTCGGTGAAATATATTGTATATGCACTTGGAGTTTTTTTACATTTTCATCAACGTGTACAAAGCGTAGCGAAAAAGAAACGTATAGTTGGCTGATGAGAGCAAAACGATCTCGAGTTGACACAATTACACGAAGGCGGCAATGTTAAATTAACTTCATTGTAAGAGGATCCATGCGACAAATTAACACTATACCTTTCAAGCTGCTTATAGACGAGTAACAAGTGTGTGTATAGGATGTACACGTACCCGAGTACCCCGCTGTATCGAATTTTCCGGGGAAACAAGTCGAGCATTGGGGTTGGAAGGACCGTAAGCACGTGCAGTAATTAAAGATGAATTGGGCGATGCACGATACAGCTGGTACATGTATATATACACGCAAGTTGGCTTTGCCCTGCATCTATATACGTATACACGTCACCACGAAACTTTTCCCTTCGATCGATGAAACTACTTAACTATACATCTATAAGTGTATAACACAATATATATAATATACTTATATATGCTTGACCAAAGTCACACCATCGACCAACAACATCGTCATTATCAACTGTACGCGAAGCGTATATACTATACTTTCATGTTGATTTATTCTCGTTGTCATTTGGTGTGTTATATTATGTGCTCGACAAAATTTACCCTTGGTCGTACAATGTATAAATTATACCAAATGGGGTTTTGTTTTCGTTAAAAAACGACAACCACGACAATTTTCAGTTTGTATATTTAATTTATTTCCTTTTCTCTCACGTCCAGCGGCTACTTTTACACGCATGGCGAATAAAATACATTAAAAAAAAAAAAACTCACCCCCCAAGCTGTACGTNTTTTTTTTTTTTTTTTTTTTTTTTTTTTTTTTTTTTTTCCCTCTCCCACGCTCGCTTGCTCGTCTGTTTTAACAGGCGGCGATGACATTCCGGTATAATGAAACGTCCCTCACGAAGGAGCTGTGTGC